CTGCCCTGCCATTAAATTCACCCATTGAGTTCTTAACCTTTGTTACTGAATTTTCCTATTCAAGAATTTCTACTTGGTTATTTTCTAAATCTATTATGTCATGTTTTATATCCATAAGTTCTCTGTTGAAACTTACCCTATTTACCCTGAACATCGCAACCATAGATGTTTTAATGTTGGTGTCTAATATCTATAACGTCTGAAGCCCCTGTGGTTCTCTTTACATTGTCTACTATCTCTCCTGCCAGTTCTAGCTCATATTATCTTACCTCTTCATATGCCTAGCTTTAAGTAGAAATCATGTGAAGCATGGAGCGATGTTATCTTTCTCCAAAATGGATTTTTGTTCACTCCTACCAGGTGATCAGGGGTGCTGAGCCACAGCCTATGCAAGAGGGCTGGTTGACCCACAGCCTACCCTTACCCTTAGGTTGCAACACTTGCTAATCTCACCCAGTGCATGACGATTCACAGGCTTGCCATATTTGGTGGCCTTGGCTTTTGTCCCCTAGGCTGTCAAAGTTCTGCTCGGTCTCTCAAATGCCTTGGAGTAAATATTCCCAAGGCAAAAATAGCCCCCAGTGATGGGGTCACCACTGCGATCCCATCTCCTAAATCTTGCCCTAGAAGTTGTTCTNCTGCCCTGCCATTAAATTCACCCATTGAGTTCTTAACCTTTGTTACTGAATTTTCCTATTCTACGATTTCTATTTTTTTTTTTTTTTAAAGATGACCAGTAAGGGGGGCCGGCCTGGTGGCGCACTGCTACAGTGCGGCGCTTGGGAGTGCGGCGGCGCTCCCACTGAGGGTTCGGATCCCACATACAGACCGGTTCCCGCTCACTGGCTGAGCGAGGGGCGGGGGCGACACTGAGGGTTGCGATCCTGTTGCCGGTCCTGGTACGGTACGGGGGCAACACTGAGGGTTGCGATCCGTTGCCGGACAGGGAAAAAGACAAAAAAAAGGAAAAAAATAAAAAATAATAAAAAAAAGATGACCAATAAGGGGATCTCAACTCTTGCCTCGGTGTTGTCAGCACCACGCTCTCCCAAGTGAGCACCGGCGATCCCTAGATAGGATCCTAACCCATGGCCTTGGTGTTATCAGCACTGCACTCTCCCGAGTGAGCCACGGGCCGGCCCCTATTCTACAATTTCTACGTGGTTATTTTCTAAATCTATTATGTCATGTTTTATATCCATAAGTTCTCTGCTGAAATTTCCCTCCCTGAACATAGCAACCATGGATGTTTTAATGTCGGTGTCTAATATCTATAACGTCTGAAGCCCCTGTGGTTCTCTTTACATTGTCTACTATTTCTCCTGCCAGTTCTAGCTCATATTATCTTACCTCTTCATATGCCTAGCTTTAAGTAGAAATAATGTGAGGCATAGAGTGATGTTATCTTTCTCCAAAATGGGTTTTTGTTCACTCCTACCAGGTGATCAGGGCTGCTGAGCCACAGCCTATGCAAGGGCTGGTTGACCCACAGCCTACCCTTACCCTTAGGTTGCAACACTTGCTAATCTCACCCAGTGCATGACGATTCACAGGCTTGCCATACTTGGTGGCCTTGGACTCCAGCTTTTGTCCCCTAGGCTGTCAAAGTTCTGCTCAGTCTCTCAAATGCCTTGGAGTAAATATTCCCAAGGCAAAAATAGTCCCCAGTGATGGGGTCACCACTGCGATCCCATCTCCTAAATCTTGCCCTA